CTTAAACTGGAGCGGTGATCCGTGGAGCCAAATCCCATTTCGTGGCTGGGTCAGATGATGCACATAACGTAGCATTGAAATTACAGTCGGGAACAGCCCAGACAGAACTTTTCTCAAGTTTGGCTAAAGTTAAATGATTGGTTGCAGACAGGTTGTGGCAAATCACACTGGCTGAAGGGGATGAGGGGTCAGTCAAAGGGTTCTTCTTGTTGAACTTTTTACATCTTTTACAAACAATTAGTCTCATGTATTTTTTTTCGTTTGTTTTCACACAGGTGAAGGAGGATTGGAAGTACGTCGCCATGGTGATCGACCGCATCTTCCTGTGGATGTTCATCATCGTGTGCCTGCTCGGGACCATCGGCCTCTTCCTGCCCCCGTGGCTGGCTGGCATGATTTAACGCTTGTGGGAAAACACAAAAGAAACTCGCGCCCACCTCAACTCAAGTTTGCTGTTTGGCATTTAAAGTGTAGCTGAACTTCAAAACTGGCAGCGTGACTCGAGTTTGTGTAACGCAGTCCAACCCATGCGGCCTCACACAAAGTCACAGTTGCCGAGCCAAAAGGATGACTAACGAAGAGAACGTTGCAATTCTCAGATTGGGAACAGTATTGGAGTAAATATCAACATTTTTGTTTGTTTGTTTTATTTAGTTGTTTTTTGTATGTAGCAAAATTGACAATTTTACTCCTGACTTGGGTCAACTTTCATCTCAGATGCACGTCGTCAGCCTCAGGTGTGCTCAGGTTGTATTTGATGTCTAGCATTCTTTGTTAACATTCACAGATTCGGCAGATTTGGCATGTCAATGTGCTTTTATGTTAACAGTGTTAATCATGTTATCCCTTTGACACACCAGTTAGCATAACATGCTAAATAGTCCGTACAGATTTTCAGCTGTTCAGGTCGTAATAATTTCTAAGAGCTTTAGCAGATGTCAACTTTCTTTCCGGTTCTTGAAGGTTCTTCACCTACGACGCTGCTTCTGTGACTGATGGGGAGTCCCGCTTATAGAAACTTAGATGGATTTTCTTTAAACACAACATATCAGTTCACTTCAGACCCAACATTTTTAGACAAACATTGGTTCGCCCTATAAAACAGCCAAGCTAAGCGATGCTGTATATGCAGTTCCGTGCAGCACACCAGCCTATAGTGGAGACTAAACAACAAGCGCATGGCTTAACACGCGAGGTTCAGCTCCTCAGGACAAGACTCAACAGTATAAGGAACACTTCTCACGTTCACATTATGGACGGGGAAGACAGATGGTTTGAGAGAGGAGTGAATGACGCCATTTATATCAAACTGGAGCAGCCATCTCTAAACAGAGGAGGGTCGATGCCACCACGAGTCAGGTACTGATAAGGAGTTTGGAGGATGAAGACACACAGAGACACTCACATGACTTATGCTGTAATAATGTCTACTGATATGAGGAGAAGTGATGCCAGCAGCGCAGCAGTTCATGCAGACAGGGTCAGCATCAGTTCTGAGGATCCTCTCTCACCGTTGGGCCTTTATGGTCCTGGATGAGGGGCCACATTCAGATTACAGACCAGTATGGAGACAGCCAGTCTGCTCACTACTGTTAGAAACAGACCAGTCTAACCCTGACTAGAACAGAGAGTTCTATGATATCCTCCTCCTACTACAGCAGCTCCCGTCTGTGGGAAAGTCACAACAAGGCAAGATAACATGGAGACAGGGCTCAGGCCTGGAGAGAGCAGAGACCGAAGGTAATGGCCTGTTCTAGTCTGTAGGATCATCTGGGTTGACGTCTGCTAACAGGAGATATCTTATACAGGAAAAGGGTCATTTTTCCTTCACATCTTGACTCATCCCTGTTCAGGTAGTTTCACACCTCCAGGTTTGTGAGTTCTGGGTCATCAATGGGCCATGTGAGTTGGGAGTCAGTTAGAAATGAAGAGGCCCTGCGTGAGTGTTGGAACGTCTTACAGAACCAAAAAGAGAAGCCCAGTTGCCTTTTAGCTGAAGCTCTGAGGACAGTTAGACAGTGTGGTGCCAACACTGTCGTGGGCTGAGGTGTGAGAGTGAAATAATCACTTCTTCTGTAGTTTCAGGGACTTGAAAATCAAAAACCTAACTACATCATATTGATCACTAACCGCCTGATGAATGGTGACCTTATTGTCAGACCGCGACTCAGAGGCTGAACATCAGCTAATCATCCAGATGTTCGCTTTTTGTAGGAAGTCACGAGGGAGCGACTCATCCAGACCAGGTATCTATGGGAGAACACTGCAATGCCAAAAAATGGCAGTTGGACGCCACATTTCCTCCAAAGCCAATCATCTGCCAAACTAGAAAACATCCAGCAAAGTGTGTATAATGTGCAGTAAAGCATAACCTGTCTGAAAAACAAAAACACCTTCTAACCTTATTTTGGAGCAAAGTCACCAAACTTTTAAAGTGGTTTTTATCAGATTTGACTGGTGATTCCAGACAGGCAGGTTCTCTGCCCCGGTAAACATTGAAATTGCAGTTTTGGCTCTCTCCCCATTCATTTATTTATGACTGGTGTTGTTTGCCCAAAACAACTGCCAAGTGGAGAGACTTGCCCGTAAGGACTTTGAGTTGAGGCTGGAGAGGCGTCCAGTGTAACTCTAAATGTTTGTGTCTGGCTTCATAAAACCAATCCTGGAATTAACAAACCGAGAGCAAAGATTTATCAGACCTTAATCCTGCCGGCTGCACACAAACACCCATAAAGCATCTACTGTAGCTCACATGATCACATCTAGTCAATGTTTTAACAACAATATTTTGTTATTTATCAATTCCCAAAGATTTTTTTTTTCTTTTTTTTCTTTCACCAGATGATTTTATAGAAATGTGGGGTTGTGTCTTTGAAGACGGGACTCCTGGGTCCACACAGGCAGCTTTAGAGTTTAGTCAACGGCCAAAAGACATTTCCCATGTAGCTCAACACCGGTCAGTGACGAAGCTGACGTGAGTTCACTCGGTTCTGTCAGAGGTATCAGTCATATGGCACAAGAGGAAATGTTGATGTCAGCAACGTCTCTGAAGGATTGTGGAGCTGAAGAAGGCACCAAAGTCATGATACTGTGAATGACTCTTTACTGACATGTTGAACTGTGGCAGACTGAAGATTCAGCAAAACGTCACCGATGTGGATAAAACTAAATGTGGAAAAGCTGCAGCTGCGTCCTGCGTTTGTGCCAGACTGAAAGGCTTCGACAAGTCTGGACATCTACTCACGATGAGATGACTGTTAACACACTGTGGTAGAAAATCCTGGATGCACTGGAGCCGTTTGGTTTGGACGGAGATTGCATTTGTACGGGCGTTTCTTTCTGGCAATGCTGCGGTGATTACACTTATTTTTGAATGATTGTACGATGTAATAAACACCCTCATGGAAAACCTTTGAAACCCTGTCGATATGATATTTACTGATGTGTGAAAATGGCCTAAAGACGTTCACATATAATTTGTGTTCTTGCAAAAGTAAACTGAGTCTGAGGCTGAACTCAGATTTAACTGCAGGAACAGAGGACATGTTTGTTACAGAGACTAGGGCTTGTTTTACATGTAAGTTGACGTAGTTTTCTTATAGTGAATGTGTACATTTGAAAAACATTTTATTTTATTTATTTATTTTTTATTTAAAAAATAAATAAATAAAATTAAAAATTAAAAATTAAAATTAAAATAAATTTAAAAAAATAAAAAAAATAAAATAAAATGAAATAAAAAAACATTATATTTTATGTCTGCAGCTGCCAGTAGTTCATCAGAGTGATATATTAAAAGTATTGAATAGTGACAACCATCCAGCATCCCTAATCGAGGCATTTCATCTAGATATTAATTATTTATGTGTTTATTTACATTTTTATTTCATTCATTGAGTTAAAACAATTAAATATGACACAAACACTCCTGAACGAAAAGGAGCAGAAAGAAGAATAATCTGATTTTATCTGTTACCTCAAAAAAATACATTTACTGAAACTTAAATTACAAAAAGCACCAACAACAACCCAATAAGCATCAAAATATTCATAACAAAGACAACAACAACAATAATAATATAAAATAGTTGTCCTTCAAAGCTGACAGCCACGTTTTACTGTAGATCCATTTTCTTTAATTTTTTTTTTTTTTTAAACAGAAATTTTAACATGATTATTTACTCGTCTTTACAATCAGACATAATGAACAGATCTCCTCCACCTTTAATTGTTCTTTTAAATGTAAAATATTGGTTCTGATTCTTTGGTTTCTTTGTCCAGATTGTTCCCCAAACTGATTCCTTTTACAGAAACACACACGCTCCGTCACTTTTGTCCTGAATCTGGGTTTTTGTTTTTTTAAAGATCTCAGTTCCTTTTAAATCAGACTTACTTTCTCTTTTTTCAGATCTTTTCTGAATATTTATTGGTAAAACACTACAGTTGACTGATTCATGAAACGTCAACAATTTTAACTTTAAAAACAGTGGATTTGTTGCCTCTCTGTGTTGTTTTCTACTTATTATTCTTATGGCTCTTTATTGCAAAATGAAAATTGATTTAATTTATGTTTTTACAAGCATTTCCCCAAACGTCTACACAACAGGTCAGATATGGAGCAATCATAGCGTTACACAAAAAAGTTCTTTATGTTAATTTTACATTTTGAGTAAAAAACAACGTTCTGAGGTTCCCAAAACTTCCCGTAGGCACACAAACATCATTACCTGTTTCCACTATGTTCATCATTATTATAGATTATGTGCTGAATCACAGACATGGAGATAAACCCGATGCGACGCTGCTGCATGCTGCTCACCACCTCAACAGCCACGTTAGCTTTTCTACCTCCTGTATGTCAGAATGAACTGAACACTGCTTAAGATTGCGTTATAATATGTCGAGCAACTACTTGTTTGCACGGCAGCAAAATGAAAGTACCTGTGAGGCAGATTCAGTGTAAAACAAGTCGGTGTGAAATGAACAAGAAAAAGAAAACACACATTCACTGACCTTTTATTACTTTAGCGCTCAGTCTGCAGGAGATACTTTACAGTCGTAGTAGTTCTGACAGGTTGTTATGAATAAACTGAAAAAGGGACACAAACATCGTCAAATGTACAAAACTCCACAAGAGGTCGGCTTTAATGAGGAGGCACACGTACAGCATTTATACTGCTGTATCTCCTGCATTATGTGTTAGAGCTTTATGTTTCATAATAAAGACGACGGACGTAATACAAAAACCTCTTTAAAGTAGAGTAACCTGAAACACACATCTGCCAATTTATTACTCGTACACTTGTGGTCTTCGTTTCATCATTTTTATAACGATTGAAGACTTAATATATCCAATGCATACGACTTTTAAACAGTTTAGTGGCTGACGAACCTTTTGTCTTTACAATCCACTACTAGTTTCATTTTGTATAATAATGCTATTTTTCATATCGTATTGGTCACAAGACACATTATATATTTACAAAGATAATTCATCAGATAATTAAATCAATCACAATAAGAACAGTTTCCAGTTTGTCAGGACCGACTGCTTCCTGAACATGACGCTAACGGACTGTCATAACTTTACACACCGCCATAATAACTTTGTTTGTACAGGTTGTCGATATCCACTGAGGCGCAGCAACACGTTTACGCTAAACATTCACGTACACGACGACGGCGGTCCACAGAGCCAGTGCAGGCTTAACTTTCACTGATTTGATCACAACACAAACGTCTGACTATGTGCAGGTTGTTTCTGACAGCTTGACGTGGAAAACTGAAAACGAGAGTCTGCGGTCCGCTAGGGGGCGGCTGGCTTGGCTAAATTGGCCCTGACTCTGGCTTGGTCCACGGCGTCCAGCATGTTCTTGCTGTCCATAGCCAGAGTGTGTGCAGCGGCCAGCATCTGTTTCCTGCACTCGTCCTTCAGAGAGGTGATGGCGTTCTGCTGGGCCAGGCGCATTTTGCTGATCAGCTCCGCCATGTCGTTGTTGAGCAGCTTCTGCGTGCCTTCGATCTGTTGGTGGAGGCAGAAGAACAGTGGAGCGAATGTTTGGGTAAATTCCATCGTGTTTCAGGAGCCTACTGCTGTGCATGTTGGCTCGCTGTCGCCGGTTGCTGCAGAATGAGCTCTGGAGTAGCCATAAAACACTTCTTCACCTTTGCTCTGCTTGTGTTTAAACAGTTCTGTCATTGTTATTTCCTACAGGTGAAAGACAGACTTACTATGAAGCCAGTTTGACATATCCAGGCTTAATTTGTGTAAACTGACTTAATAAAACCTAACACTGATTTGAACCTCCTCCAGAGCTGTGCAGCATCAGTTACCATGGCGATATAGCATGTGTGAAACTGAAAACTCTGACTTTAGGCTCAACATATCTCTCTAACTCACTGATCTCAGTTACATTCCTTAGAGCTACCTCGGCAGAAAGTAGGGACGCGAGAAAACACAAAAACATCTTTCTGCAGACGACAAACTGTACCTCGGTCCTGATGGACTCGTGCAGGGTCGGCAGGATGTCGTCAACACTGCGAATCAGATCCCGTAAGGCCATCCCAACAGACTGCGGGCAGAGATCAATACAGGAAATCACTCAGCTGTATGACTCAGGAAGTTTGGCTTTTCAGTTTGCCAGTAAAGCAGCAACAGGCTGCAGAAGTGAAGCGGATCATTTGTCTCAGTGCACCTTGACAATGGTGATGTATTGTTCTGGCTGCAGCTCCGGGATGTCGTTCTTGAGCTGGACAACAACTTTGACCAAGTCCATGACGGAGTGATACACTTTGTCATCAGAGCGGTCCAGCTCCGCCGTGGGTGCCGGCTACATAGGACAGAAGTAATGTGTTTCAACACCCATTTAAATTACTTACTATTTCAAATGCACGGTGACGTCTGTGCCCTTTAAAGTGAAGGGCACGTTATAAACTCTTTTTATCGAAAAAAAATCAAAGCCAATGAATTAAATGGCCTTTTCAGCGTTCTAAAAAGATATTAAAAGCACAAAAAGGAGTCGGTCTACCTGCGCTGTGAGCCGAGGAGGCTTCTCAGGCGCTGCTGCAGGGCAGAGAAAAGAACAATATGAAGGAATGAGAGGAAGATGGAGAGAAACACATCTTCAGAATTAATCTAATGTGTGTGTGTTCTTACCGTTCTCACTGTCAGCTTCAGGGGACTGAAAGAACAGAGAGAGAAAGATCTGATGAGGATCAGAACAGAAGTCCAGTCTACACTCTCACTGTTTGTTCAGCAGCTCACATCATGTGTCGACAAAAATGTACAAAAGTAATCGCAGTAAATGATGGATGGTAACTCTGTATTTACCAAAGTACTGTTTGTAGGCTGCTTTACTCTGGTTTTTCTCCTACTTTATACTTGTACTCCATTACATTTTAAAACAAAGTAAATAATCTACTTTCTAGTCCACTGCAGTTACTTTTAACACAATGGATGATAAAGCAAGTTTTTAAATTAAAACAAGATTAAACCAACAATTTCCAACATTTTTGGCTTCTTACAAAACTTAACGTGAGGTCGAGGTCACGTTACAGACGTCTGAGTTGTTAGAGTTCAACCAAATAGTGACTTTTCCCTTTAAAATCTCACATTTATCTGCTGTCCCGGTTCATTAAACTGAATATAAAGTAGTTCAAACTGTCTCTGACTTCAGCAGCGACAGCAACATGCTGCTGACACACATCTGATGAAGTCTTATATAACATTATATCACTCAGACACATCAAACAAGTGCTTTTAATTGAATTCTTCAGCTACATGTTGCTGCTAACACTTGTATTCGTTCACTTAAGTGCGATTTTTCTTGCACAACTTTTACTTGTAATAGAGTTTTTTCGCTGGTACTTTTACTTTAGCAAAGGATTTGATTACTCCTTCCACTACTGAATGTGTTTTTGCAATAAATTGAACTGTACTGGATCATCCATTCATGACAAACAGATAAGAAAAAGATGCACTTTCCAACATTGTGTGCTGCACAAGACATGAATGCTACACATGGAAAACTTTTTCTGAAATAGTAACTCCAGTGGCTGCAGGTGTCACTTCTACTGGTTTCACATCCAGTTGGAAAAAAACCCAACAAAAAACATACTTTAGTTAAAAGTTTTAGGTGTGTAGCTTTCCAGTGTAGCTTCAGTCATCATGCAGACTAATGTGGTCACTTGACAAACTGGGCTGCTGTTCTTTAGTCTGACATTAAGCTTAAAGACGGTTTGTGGAGGTGGACACCTACCGCTGGACTGGCAGCGTCCTCTGGTCCCATGGGGTCCTGCAAAAAAACAGGCAGGTTCATTTTATAGAATATAGACATGGAGCCTCTCTTTGGAACTGTTACCAGGGGAACATTCAACTTAAGACTAGTGGGGCGTCGAGGGTGCACAAGTGGGCCGCTAGTGTTTAGCGGTGCCTCGTTCAGCGCGGCCTCCAGGGCCACGTTGAATTTGGATGCAGGGGCACACAGAGACACACAGAGGGGGTTGACAAAAGTTAAGGATGCCCTGTTTCCCACCAGGAGTCTCTCCTCCTTCTCCAGCCACTTTTCATCCTCCATCATCTGCTCTTTCTGCTGCCGGAGGGTGTCCTGCATGTGCCTCCTCTCGGTGTGCCACAGCCGCTGGGCGTCCTCCCGGCTGTTCGCCTCCATTCGGGCGAAGCCGCCCTCCTGCAAGTGCAGCAAAGGAACGATGAGACAGGCTTGTGAGAACAGAACATTTATCTGTTTCTTCTCTGAACCCTCTGAACCATGTTTCTAGGTTTTTTTGTTGTTTTTTGCTTTTGTCACATTTTGTTTGACTCGGGCTGCAAGGTGGTCGATGGTTAGCACTGTTGCATCGCAGCTAGAAGGTCGCCGGTTCGCGTCCCAGTGAGGACACCCGGGATCTTTCTGCATGTTCTCCCCGTGCAGCGTGGGTTCTCTCCGGGTTCTCCGGCTTCCTCCCACAGTCCAGAAACATGCTGAGGTTAATTGGTGATTGTAAATTGTCCGTAGGTGTGAATGTGAGTGTGCTTGGTTGTCTGTCTCTAAGTGTAGCCCTGTGATAGACTGGTTACCTGTCCAGGTGAACCTGCCTTCACCCTGAGTCAGCTGGGATAGACTCCAGCCCCCCATGACCCTAGTGAGGATTAAGCATTCTGACCCACTGTGGGCTCCTTTCTTTAATGCTATACCAAGTCCTTAAATCTATGGAAACATCACAACCATTTTTCCAGGCGCCCACAGGTGATAAAAGAAATGGGGCTCCACAGACTGTAGATATTTTATTAGAGACAATTAAAAACTGTTTCTCCAATGCTTTGTGTAAACACTGCCTGCAGTTCAACTGAGTTTTTGTCACAGGACTGTTGCTCACAAATAACTCCATGCTTAACCTGTAAAATGCCAACAATACTTCTTTTTTTTCTAATTTTTTGAAATAAGACATGCAGAATATTGTGAACAGATTTGGGATTAAGATTTGATTCCCAACAGAACTGCACGTCACTGATGAGTAGTTCAAAAACCATCAACAAAGATAAAAAATCTGATGATCCTTTCTGATTTCAACTCAAACTCATCAGCAGGTTTCAGAGGGTTACGACACAAACACCTTCAATATTACTTCATCAGATGTATTGTTTTAGAGCATAAACTGACACAGGCTTCATAATGAAGTGCTCAGAGCGTCTCACCCCCATGCTGCGACGCCGTGGAGACCTGGTCGGCAGCGCCAGAGAGTTCATGGAGTCGACAGGCGACTGGTATTCAGATGGGCTGGCGAGGTCGGGTGAGCTGGCACACAGAGCCTCATTCAGCTGCACAGACACACAACAATTACATAAAAAAAAAGTGTCATCTAGGGGTGGAAGCACCGTGTCTGGAGGCTATTATTTACCTGTATGTGTAGACCAATACTGAGCGTGTTCCCAAACCGTCCAGGTTTCATTCTTGAAGGCTTCAATGGAGGTAAAAAGACATAAACAGTGTAAATCCATGAACTCTGAGCCGATTCAGAACATGAACAACTGGCTGAAGTTGACCTACCTTAGGAGGAGGTTCGTTAAAGTTAAACTTGGGCTCAAAGAACTTGGTGGAACGAGCTCTGTCCCTCTCTCTCTCCACCTCCTGCTCCTTCTCCATCTTGTGGACGTCACTGACAGATTGGAAACACAGTTATTGTCACTTAAGTCTTCAGAAACACACTTGATGTACAGTTTTAGGAGGTCACCACCTTCAGCACTACACTAGTTCAAATGGATAATTATACTTCAATACACTGATCTTCAAGGCTTCTTCTATGATCTCATTTCTGACAATTTAAACAGTAACTAGAAATATGTGGATCTAAATCCTTTAATGTTAATCACACGGTGTGAGAGGTGCTTCCCTTCATAGAGTCATGGAGAAAGGAAAAGGTGTCGTCACGACAGATGACTGACGAGTGATTATTCACCATTATTCTCTTTACATTTAACAGCTGAATCTGACGTTTTGGACCAGTTGGAGACATGAGAGAGACGAGCGGCTGACTCCAAGACAAAGTGAGTTACAGTAATCCAGGTGGGAGGTGATAAACGCATGTATTACTGTCTCGAGATGTGGAGCTGTTAGAAATGGTTTCGCTTTAGCATGACTAGCTAGTGATGCTGCTCATACGATGCTCCCCATTGGCTGTTAGCTCAGCAAAGCATTTGAACAGTGAATATAATTGCTAGTAAACGCTGTGAAATCTTTGCAGCACGAAGTTTGTGGAAAACGAGACTTGTTGTTGAAAATCCCAAGAACTTTGGCATCAAGCTGCTCGGACATGGCAGTTTGTTGTGCAGTTAGGGCTGCAGCACCATAATATGTTTAAAAAGAAATCTGTCTTTCTCTTCCACTTGCTATAATCTGAATCGTCATGACTCCAGTTTAATACAGTTCATACCTACAACATCATTTTGGACGGTTAACAGTTGATTCAAGCTGTCTGGAAAAAACAATACTGTGAACTGAGGGCAATGGAAGCTAACCTGAACTGGGACTATGACGAGTCAGAATTAATCAAGTCAGGATTTAATGAAGTCAGCTTCAGATATCTGCAACTGGTTTAAAGGTCACTGTCATGAGAAACCTAAGACACATGAATAGTAAAGGTGATGGAGAATGTGGAGCTACTGACTAAGAAGAACTGATTTATGAACACTGAACATCTGCAGTTGCCAGATATCCAGTGTAGCTATTACATGAAACCGATTTGAAATGGATGCTCTTCTTTTCCTAAACCAATGGAAGCTACACCCTCCTACAACCATACAAACATTTGGGGCCAGAAAAAAGCTGCTGAATTTGTCCTTTTTTGGGGACTTTCTCGGGGTGAAGAGTCACACTGGACTCCCCTGAGTTGTGTAGCCTAAACCTCAACTCTACACAAATTAAAAGTGACCAACACGATGCCACATCTCTAGAAATGCAACACGGCGCTACCAGGATGCATCGCTCGGCTGCTTACATAGACAATGAATGGAAGTGAGGAGAGATCCTGTGGACGTGACTCCAAAAAGTTGGATGGATTGATGCACTGAACTATAACAAGGAAGTGAAATCGGCGCCGTGAAGCTTCGTCCTCGTTTATGCATCAACAGAAATGTGCAGCTGAAACCAGCCAGTAGACCAACAACGTGCAACATCCCCATGACATGTATATATTTGCATTTGCACTGTTTATTATTCTTATTATTATTATCATAGATTTATTCTTATTCTGTACAGTCAGTCACTTTATGATATTTAATGAAGCACTACCTGATCTTGACCACCAGCTCGGTGAACGTGGGCCTCTCTCTGGGGTCGTAGGACCAGCAGCGGGTCATGAGGGAGTAGAGGGCAGGAGGGCAGTTGTCCGGTTTGGGCAGCCGGATGCCCTGCTCCAGCTGGTTGATGACGTCTCTGTTCTCCAGCCAGAAGAACGGCTGCTGCCCACGACTCATTATCTCCCACACACACACCGCTACAGAGCAACACAGACACAGAGACAGGCTTGGATATGCTCACCCGCTAATTCATTATTCATTTTGAAACGCCGGCTTGAGCAACCGGAGAGTAAATCAGCGCATTAGGAAAGACAAAGCCGACATCGCGGAGACGTGTGAGGTGATGACGGCCGAAACTAAACAGTGAAGCAACATTTTCCCATGAATGCAACCGTGCTGGTGTTCCTGGTAATGGAGCTGTAAATAAATAAAGGTGGCAATTAATTAGTTTGATTATTGATTCATTCATTGATTATTTTTTTTAAATAGTCTGTAAAATATGAGAAAGGTGATGTCTTATGTGTCCAACCAACAGTCCAAAACCCAAAGATTCATCCATCCATCATCTCTACACCTTAATCCTCACTAGGGTCATGGGGGGCTGGAGTCTATCCCAGCTGACTCAGGGTGAAGGCAGGTTCACCTGGACAGGTAACCAGTCCATCACAGGGCTACACTTAGAGACCGACAACCAACAATTTACAATCACCAATTAACCTCAACATGTTTCTGGACTGTGGGAGGAAGCCGGAGAACCCGGAGAGAACCTTGAGCCATGGAGACTCCGCGCAGAAAGATCCCGGGTGTCCTCACCGGGACGCGAACCGGCGACCTTCTGTGCAACCACTGAGTCACCTTGCAACCCATAAGCCTCAAGGGATAGTAAATATATTACACCCAAAACCGTGTGAACCCCAAAACTTATGGGTGGATTTTAAAGGCATTTAACTTTCAAAACATTAAAAAATCTAACCAAAATCACTGCATTTAGCTAGAGTGTATAAAAACAAGAGTCCTTCCCAACGGTCCTTGAACTTATCACCTGTAACGTGCCGCATGATCACAAAATGGAACCAAATCTAAGCTTAAACTTTGATTTTTCATTAAATTCACTTTATTCTACGTCTAAATACAATTAAAAGCAGGAACAGTTTGCAGTCCTCAGTAGCGACAAGCAGTCACATGACAAATATTCATGGTCCAGTCAGCTGAACTGCAGGCTGTGTAATCAGAGAGGATCCAGTGCTGCCCACCTAATGTCACACCTCTTTATACAATATCTTGCTTATAATATATGAGTCTGGAATCATTTCCTGTATCGTAAAACAGCCCATTTATCGTCATAGAATAATGTCATGATCGTGGTTTTTGTCATAACAAAAGGCAACGTGCTCACCTGGGGTCTGATCACTGAGGTACTCACACACTGTCACACTAATTAGGCCACATCACCATTTTTCTAGTTTAATATTTAGTAAAAGTTTAAAACAAGTCTTGCTTTCGTTCCTTAAATCCTTTATTTCCCAAATACATGCTAAATACGTCCGATCGAGGCCATGTAGGTTTGACCCACTGAGGCAATAATATCTTAAACATGTGTATAGATTTTGCCTCCTTTATCCAAAGTAATATCGAGGTTGCCACCTTGTTTATAATGGTTCACTCTTTTATGCCTTTACAGCGTATAGATAATTTGGTCAGGTTCCCACAGTAGGCTCGCTTCAGGGAAAAGGAATGAAAGAAACCAGAGCAGTGGCTTGTCAGCTTGTATTTCCTGCACACAAGCCAGTGTTACTGCACATGAATAACAAGGAGCATGAGGACTTTTATGCTTTGTTTGCTTCACTCTCGGAGGCATCAAAGGTCAGATTATGCCAGTGGTGCGTGTTTGTAGGTCTGACAAGGAGAAAACTAAATACAAGACTATTACAGTCACGGTGCAGCAGTGAAACACAAAACGTTGGACTTTCATGGTGTTTGGAAGAAGATAACTGGACGAATGCAGTACGTGAACCTCCATCACAAAACCCAGGACGTCAGCGTGATACGAGGTCTAACAGCTCCCACTGCATCATAAAGTCATGCATTCTGGGTAATGATTAACCAACATGTGTGAGTGTTTCTCTTTCTTCGTGTCTTGAGCGCCAAACCCCATAAATGTGCTGCTGCAGGTTCACAAACTAACCGAACATCCAGACATCACTGGCGGTGGTGAAACGTCGGAAGTTGATGGATTCTGGTGCCATCCACTTAATCGGCAAACGAGTGACGGACGCTGCGAAGAAATCAGAGGCAGAGATGTTCGTTTATCACAGCGCAGGTCAAATCAAACTCGTGATTACTTATTTTCCTGCTTTTTTTTCAACCTATTAATGTATAAGATCTGCTTTACTATCACTTACTGGATCCTCCGATGGAAATTTGAAAGCAAAAAAAATCAGAAAATGAAATAATCAAAACATTACAGACACATTGTCAGTCTACTTGTTTTAAATCATGTTACAGGTGATCTAAGAGAGCAAAGCGATGAGTGCTTGTGTTACCTTTGTAGTATTCTTCATCCTCGATGTATCTCGACAGACCAAAGTCTCCGAGCTTCACACACTCTGGACTTGCGACTAACACGTTCCGAACCGCGATGTCTCTGCGACGAGACGTAGACGAGGCGGAAAGTTAATGTGGGTAGGACACAGTGAGCATTTAGTTTTTGCAAAACCTCGTGCCAAAACTCAGAAACAAGTAGTTTGTTGCATCTCAAACGAGCTTTAATCCTCACTGGCTGACTTGTTTTTGTGTCTCGTGTTTTCGACACTGAAACAATGAAAAGGGAAAGTTTACATTTTCCATGCAGGCAAAACCTAATTGTCAAAGCTTTCTCTTCACAGGAGATTAAATCCATGAGTGGCTGCTCGGCTGCCTGAAACTGGGAGATAACGTTCTGTAAAAACATGCTTTGTGTCGCATGTTTCTCTGCCGCGTCGACTTTCTGTGGAGTCGAGTCGAAGCATAAATATTTCCAGCTTAAACAACAAAAGGTTTGTCACCACCTGATGGCTCGTCTTTACATTCACATGGTTTGTCTTCCTCTCCATCCCTGTGAGTTACCACGGCTCTGTCTTATATGATAACCAGCAGACATCTGACCAGATTGTCAAATTATTTTAACATCATGCTGTAACTCAGCATGACTGTGCTGGAATATTACGATAGTACAAGCTGTGCCTCTTCCAAAAGCACAAAAAAATGGCAGCAGCAAAGGAGCACATTTGTATTGTTTGGCATCCTTAAGGAGGTTTTTTTGTTTATTTCTCGTACAGAGTGGTATGTAAATGAGCCCTATGCTGGAAATTATGCAGAGATTTGCTTTAATTTCAAAGCAAAACCCATCAGCAGTGTTTTGTCACACAGAGAAACAACTGGTGTCACTGGAGAGCTGAAGTTCTGCTGTTTATTTTGATTTGTGGTACGTTAGGGAACGATGGGGAGCGAAAAGTGAAAATGGGCGTTCGTGTTGACGTCGCCTCGCAGAAGTGGCTTCATAACGTTCAGTGTGTACGAATATGTGACGAGCATCATTTTAAAACTTCTTTTGTTCCAATGTCTGTGAGCTCAGAAGTAATTCAAACAAGAGTGGAGACGGACGCAGACGTGAATGAAGATGATGAAGCTGGATGTCAGTTAAAAACGATTTTTCCCGCCAACACAGACGAGTTACTGGTATCATTAGAAAGGTCAAGTTGTGCAGTTTGACGTGTGCCACACCTCCCTGCAATTAATACTTTACCAGCCAATCAGCTGAAAGGAAGGTACATGATTTTGGGTTCCAATGGTTTAAATTCTACAATTTAATTTAACGTTTTTATCCCAAACGTCTGAGAGCATGATGCCACACAATCAGGGATCCAGTCAGGAGGAAACAACCTGGTTAAGTTCCATTTAAAGAAAAACAAAAATGACTTGATCCAAACTTGACAATGATTTCTAATCTCCTGTTTTCTTTCGCTAGTTGATGAAAACACAAGAAGCTAAATTCCTTCCTCACCTGTGAACCATGTTGACCCCTTCGAGGTAGACCAGAGCTTTGCAGATCTGCAGGCTGAACAGCACCAGAGTAATATTTGTCAGCTTGTTTTGGTTCTGAGTCAGGTAGTTCCCGAGCTGAAGGAACATCAGTTACACAATCGGTTAGACAGGAGTTCGCTTGTTCTGCACTGAAGATGAGAAGACTAGTGGATCTACATAAGACTGGTTTCAAAGAGTTTTCCAGTGTTTCTACAGTAAAGCTTGAGGTCAGAGCTCACCTCTCCGTACTGGTAGAGCTCCATGACGATCCACACGGGGTCGTCCTCTATGATGCCGATCAGCTTAACGATGTGGGGATGATCGAGGTTCTTCATTATTACTGCCAAATACACAAAGTTCTCCGTTGATCAGTTTGTCACTTCATTGCAGCGGCAGTGATTGTTTTAAACCTGTTTTTCTTTGTGTACCTGCTTCACTCATGAATTTTTCCATCACATCAGGGGAACAGTCTTTGCAGGTCTTCACTGCCACGTTTACTCTGTCGCCATCCTGTCCAATGACACAATGAAAAAACTTCAACATGTAATGCTGTAAACAGTCTAATAGTGCACACACATATCGAGCGTGCTTCCAGTTTTTGTTTCGCAAATGCATCTCTTCTGTCAACTGCTGAAGTAGAATCATCGCTTTACATCAGTGAGTAAAAACCAGCAGTTTTTCTGTTTATATACAGTCGTGACTCGATAATCCGACACTAAATGTAAAACCTTCTTTTATGTCGGATATCAAGGCTGTTGGATTGTCAAGACGGAGGTTGAGATACAAGGAGGGCTTGATGCTGGAAGGATCATTAGTTGTGAATATATCGTGTATTGTTAGAACACTACGCATCGCTGGATTTCAGCCAAACTGACCGGTGAGATTGTGCACGTTCCACCCCGGGGCAGCGCTCTGACGGGGTGGAAGTGTCCAGAACACACAGGCAGTACTTGGCTGCTGATGCTAGTTTAGTTAGCGCTCACACTTCTGTTTCCTCCATCGGTGGCGGCGGGGGAGTGGCAGATACACTCCACCGTTACCATCCATGTTTACTTCCATAAACACTGAGCACGCTCGCTGCGTGTGACGTCGTCGTGTCCTCTTCTGCGCATGCGGGACACTTTTGGGTCGTATGAAGTTCACACAGCAGATCACATACAAGTCGCATTGAACTGGAAACGTGAAGGAAGTCACAAAGAAATCCTCATTGAGCATCAAGTCCTGCAGTGTGAACGTAGCCAATCTGTGGGATTGTTCAGTCAGATAATACGCCGTCATCCTGATTGGTGACATTAAATGTCATGTCGGAGTCACAATCCAAGGCTGTCGCTATGTTAAGGCTGTTTTTATGGGTTCTGTTCATTTTTTCTTAAAATCTGTCGGATAGCAAGGTTTTGGATTGTTAAGGGTCGGATTTTCCAGTCACGACTGTATTTATTATTTATCTAAATGTAAATGTGGAGACAGACTTACAGATTTTTTGTACACTCCATCGTAGACCTCTCCGAAAAACCCTTCGCCAAGGATTCGTCCGAGAACGATGTCTTCTCGTTCAATCCCGTACTTTACAACTAGAGAACAACAGCAACATTTAAAAGTGAGTTTTCACGTGTATTATTCTGCAAAAGCTCCGAATGCAGACTTCTGACAAACCTTTTGGCCTTTCGTCGAGGATCTCGCAGTAGATATCTGAACCTGCAAAAGAAAGAAAGTTTTTCTAGATCGTAGCCTTGGTGCCTCCCGTCAATGTGGATTTTTCTTTTACCACTATTAAAAATGTGAACTGCACTACGGGGATCATGAAAAAATATAAAACATTTCAGCTCACCCATACTGTGTCTGATTGAGCTGGAGTCTCGGCTGCTCCATAGAGAACACAGAATACAAGAAAGGGTCATAAATTTTCAAGTTATGGCTCCTAAGAGCGCCGAGAGGACACGATTCAACAGCGTACTCACCCTGTAGGAATCTCAGGTAGGGCACTTCTCGTATTACCATCTAGGAAAGAAATTATTTATAACAAGAAGTCCAACTGAGTTTTAAAAATGCATTTTTAAAGTCTTTTATATAACTTTTAAGGCATCCAGTTGTGCTTAAACACAGCACACTGGTGACCTTAATTGTGAGTTTTAGCAACACTGGGATAAAAGGAGTCACACACACCTTTGTTTGGTCGGTAGATCACAGTATCATCTGTGTCATTTTCCAAACGGCAGTAACCGTCAATGAGATCCATCATGTTCTCGGCCATGGGGATCGTCGCCACGTTGATGGATAGACGCTGTCAAAGAAGACACAACGGCGTGAAATACAGGCTCACGCATGGTCAAATCGTCTAAGACATTCTCAGATGTTTAAACAGAAATGAATAAAGCATTATGAGTAGTTGTGGCGCTTACTTGTCTGGCGCCCTCTATGTTGAGGTTGAGCAGAGCCTTGCCGTCACTCTGCGATAAGCACTCTATCCTCTTGATCTGTTTGAAGTCGGCTAAAAACACGGCCTGCGGCACAAAAGTAAGAGATGCAAGAAGTTAAATTATGACGGCAGTGATTACATGTTAGATACATAATGATGAAGAACACACTGGTGGCTGTTAATAAGGAGATTTAATTCTTTGCATAGCAAGTCTAGACTTGAACATTCGTCATGGAGGACACATTTACCAGGAATAGATCGACAAGAGTGAGCACGCCGATGTGCAAAATCACTGAAATATCAAATGATTCAAATAATTGTATTATTTTTAGTTAGAAGTATTTCCTCTGGTGAACAATTAGAAGACTTTTAAAAGACTATATTGAAAACACAGGCCCCAAAGTAGACATCCAGCACAACAGAAGTGAATTCACCGATGACTGACACACACCTGTGCTTTCTCATTAGCTTAACTGTATGAACACTGTCATAAAATTAGCTGTGAACACCAGAACTTTCTCAAACGTGGACCTGTGGGATCTGCATGGAAACGGATTGTCAAAGGAACAGAAAAATCTACATAAAGCTAAAATAACACCATGGACGGTGTGTTACTTGGACAATCCAGCTCTGACAAGCAGACGGACGTGCTTCAGACTTAGTGTTATCAGTGGAAATCAGAGTTTCTATCACAGCTCAGACACTGGAAAGGACATTACATAACCTCAACCTCTGTGAACGGCGTCTCAGGAAAAACCTTTGCATGTTCTTTGTACTTTACTTAAGAAAATATTAATAAGAATATTGTGAGTGCTTCGGTCACATGAAAGGATTAGTGAACCTGTTCACTACTGGAACAGTGAATGCATCGTCCTGCCAGTGAAGCACGGAGGTAGGAGTGTGATGCTACACGAGCCCAAAGGGTGTTGAGGAGAAGACGTGTACATGGAACCATAAAGGCTTGTGGATAAACCAAAATACCGGCTAGACGAGATGACTCCTGTCTGCAGTCACCAGGCGATGGAGGAATATCTCAGCATGATGGTGGAAAAAAGGGAAAACTATGGACTGGTATAATCTGCCATCTCACTTGAACCAAATGGGACGATGGCTTAGAAGTAGCTGATGTACATTTTTTCAAGGTCAAGATTATAAGACTCAGTACCAAGTAATAGACATCGGACAGCGCAGGAGCATCACATGCTGGGTTGGCATTAAGGTATGGAACAGTATCCTAGTCTGTATGATAGCTGTATGTAGCCAGTTAGCTTAGCAAAGGATGGAAACTGTGTCCTGTATGGGGTTTATGTCAGACTATTTCTTGGCTGGGCGCGATTTCTGGCATCCAATGAGCCTTGAAAAAAAATGTAGTGTAAATTACTGAACCCTAGAGATGCTGGTAGGTGAGTTTTGTTACCACCGGACAGAGACAGGTTAGCCGCTTCCCTGTTTTCTACATGGATTAGCTTCTCTTTGGTGAAAGGTCAACGGTCTCTGTAAGAAAACCTAAACAGTGACCACACTCACTGCTGAATTCTTCTGTGTTCGTTGGCGAATGCCTCTCCCACCGATGACCAGCTCCACCGACAGACTCCAGCCTTGCTGTTGACGAACAACCACAAGTTGTAATGTTAATGGTCAGAACAGTAAATCTGTGCTTGGAGTGAAACCACTAACAAGGACTATGGCAAGTGGTCATGATGCTGCCACTCACCACCAGTTCACATGGGAAGACCTCTTCGTCGTAGCTGACGAAATCCTTGAGGGTCTCAAAAAACTTCACCATGCAGTCGTCCTCCTTGAGCGTCGCGTACTGTTGAAACGTTTGCTGGATCAACTTCCGGAGCTGCCTAGACTGGATCACAACCACAGAAATGTGAACTAGTTATGGTTTGTACCTGCCAAACGTCCAATTTAATGCTCATAACGAAGTTTAATTAGTGGGTGCTTGTTTAGGTGGACACACTTTAGGCCAGGGGTGTCCAGTCCCGGTCCTCGAGGGCCACAATCCTGCATGTTTTAGAGGTGTCCCTCTTCCAACACACCTGATTCAAATGATCAGCTCATCATCAAGCTCTGCAGAAGCCTAATACCGATCCTGATCATGTGAATCAGGTGTGTTGGAAAAGGGAAGCATCTAAAACATGCAGGATTGTGGCCCTCGAGGACCAGGACTGGACACCCCTCTGCTTTAGGCCAATGCTGGTGGCTGACACTGTGGTTTGGGAAGTTTACCTTCATGCTGTTGATCAGCTGCTGGGGAAAGAAAAGGTCCAGGCCCACTTCTTTTCTAAAGAAAGCATCAAATAAACAAAGTAAAACAGAGAGAATTAAAAGCTCACAATGCACAGAGATGTAAATAAACATATGAATGAACATCTGTTACCTTCAAGCCCTTCCCTAATGCTGACTAAGCCTATTGGCACCACATAAATCTCTCTGTATTTCCTGTAAACCCAAGTTTTAAACCTGGTGTCTGTGACTACATTCCCGAGCTGGTGCACTGGCAGCGATGTCAACCAGCAACGATTGGTTTGTCAGAGCTGCAGAGGGGAGCAACAGCAGCGACGGGGACAGATGTTGTCGTCTATGGTGGACAAACCAAGGAGCATCCTGGAAAAGTTTCTAATGGTCGTAAAACTAAAGAAACTCTACGTTGATGTGAAGGATTACACTCACAAACACTTCATCTTGTTTGTGTAATGCCTCTCACTATCAGAAGGGGGTGACAAAAGTTCCCCGCTGCAGGTTTAAGGTCAACTCATGCTTTGTGCATTCATGGGGGTAAACGTCATCCATCCACATGCAACCCAACGTTTGTGACCATGTGGACTGTCCAACTGCCAGGAAAAGGAGTGCTGCTCAAAACAAATGTTTAGCATGAGGTGAGAAGATTCCTGGACATCCACAGCTTTATAATTCATCGAGTTGTAACTGAAGTAGTTGCTGCAGAACTTTTAAAGTGCTCTGATTTCTTCAAGGTTTCCATCAGTGGTGCCAAAACACAAAGAAAAGTTCTCCAGAAATCCTGTGCAATGTCCACTCATGAGCAGCACATGTCCATGAATTGGCCTTTACGTCTACACATTTTCTACATTCACTGCCTTTTATTAAGCTTCAGGATCACTCTCAACCCTCTTATCTGTAAAATCAAATCACGCTGCTGCTGGTACAGTTCAAATGTTGTGTAGTCGTAGCAAGAATACAGTCTGTGACTGAGAGAGGAAAAACTTACTCTAGCAGCTCAAAGTTGGATTTCTTTTCTAGACCTTTTGCGTTCATGTCTTTATAGAACCTCCTGTAAAAACAGACGGGAGAAAAAAAACAATGTGTGAGCATCTAATAAAACTGACACACATATTAGTCCTTTTGATTCAACACATGTTGACCCTGTTCAGGACTTTTGGAGGTTTTTTGACTCCAGGACATTTGGTTCAGGTGACAGGTGTTTTTTTTTTTTTTATTGTTGTCATTTGGAACCAAAAATACATCAACTTATCAAAAAATGTATTTAACATAGTATAAAAGTCTATCATGAATACCAACAAAGACCTGAAGAAGACCCTGAACGACCTTCTACGTATGGAAACATGAAAGTCCTGAACAGGGTTAAGCACAAAGTACCACGACACAAAGGTTATCAGAGAACCTCCAGTGAAACGCATGAACAATGCACCTCAAACTGTGTTCACACAGCGGCCTTGTGCTCAGAGAGCTGAGGAATGCGGTGACTCACCTGATCTCCAAACAGCCGAGCTGCAGCGCCATCCCATCGCTGACCTTACTCGCATGATACTGCATGTAGTCACTTCGCACCTGTAAAATAATACATAAGATATAGAACAGAGAAAATAAATACGCCAGCACTCGCCAAAATTATACCGAACAATTACACTTATATTTTAAAACAATCTGTTCTGCTATTTATAGGGATTATAGCTGCAAAAGTAAAGCGATCACTGAAGCGATGCATCCTCAGCTGAAAATTAGGCCTCACTCCCTCTGTTGCAATCTGAGTTTCTCTTTTCTATGTTTTGGTGGGAAGTGCATGTTCGTGCATGTGAGTCCCTCCCTTTGAAACTACATAAAGAGAATGAGTGTGACATTACGACTACGTCAGTGACCCAAAAAATGTGTTTCAAAAAAGTATTTTATACGTTTTAGGCTCGCTTGGAGAACAAAAGCCTCCATGACAGAAGAAGAAAAGAGTTTCACAAACTTCATCAACACAAAACCAGTCACGAGTAAAGTCATCATCATACACGCTTCCACCTACTCTCTTATGTGTAAAAACACTGCTGCTTATTGCCAAAAGTGTACTGAAGAAAAAAGAGACTTCAACAAGAAGTGAATTTTTAGTTTGCTGCTCTGATGACGAGACCGACGCCGGTTACCTGTTGGTAGAAATACAGGAACGTCGATCTGTCTTCTTTGAATCTGTCGAGGAAATTGACAGGAACGTATCTAATCCGGAGATCGTACCTGTTCCCAGCAAGAAAGCAGACACGCAGATATAAGCTTTCCACAGAACAAACTTTACTATCGTACACCAGAAGTGAGTCAACGGATCGTGTTCAGCATAAAGTCAGAGATGAGAATCCCAGGGATCCGTCTGTACCTCCACTCGGCCTCCACGTGATGGCTCTCGTATCGTTGTTCCACCTCTCCGACGGTCAGATCTGGATGCAGCCAGTGGAGTTCCTCTGACTTCAGGTGCTTCAGCAGGAGACCGTAACATCCTGCGTGTTCAATGTTCGGCCCCAGACGCCCGCTGACCAGGATCGAACGAATGATGGCCTGAAGGAGAGGAAACGAGAAAGTTCAAGAGGTACGAGTTATATTTTATTACAGTTTGTGGCTGATGCTTGTGACTGACAAATACGCTCCAAAATGATCACACGAAGGAGTGGAAACAACATCTTTAAATTTTCGCTGTTGCTGCAAACTGAGAGATTATTTGTGAAGTGATAAAAGATTTATTAAAAGTCCAACGAGCTGACAAGGCCAAAGAAAACATCTCTCTGGCTAAACATACAAAACACTGCATCCCTCAGCCTTGACACTTCCTCAATTTCTTATCGAAAACCGTCTCAGATAAGCTGAGGCTTCTCTCCTCGTCTTCGTCCTCTGACACTCCCTTCGGCATACTTTTTTGATTACTAAGCTCTCACCCTGATTTGCCAGGAGCTGTCACATTTGACCAGCTTGAAGTTCTTGCCCAGGTTGTTGTTGGTGCAGAAGCACACTTTGAGGATCTTGACAGGCCCTCCCTCCCCAGTGAAGTGCGCTTCGGGGCTGGACTCGGTGCCGCTTTGTCTCGGACTGGGCACCTTCCAGGCCAGGGTGTCACCGGACATCACCTCGTACATTCTCACGGCTGGGCTGGCGTCATATCATCCTTGAAAAGAAAAAAAAAGACTTGAATTGAATTTGCCGGTTTTCAAAACTGAAATCCAGGGAAAGCAATGATCTAAGTGTTGAGTGAAGACCTGGAAACACTGGAGTACACGCTGTTCCTGGAGTTGCTTCATCGTAGTACTACAGTCACACCACGCTCCACATTCACGCTGTGATCTGGTGCCGCGCTGCTGCTATGATTCACATCATTACATTCCTACCAAACCGTGATTTTGAGCGACTGCCTGCGTGATTCATGAAACAGAACTGGGACGCTGTACAGACTTGTATCATCAACGAGTAGATGCAAACAGAACTTACATTTCCTTACCTAGATGCTGAAAATGCAGCATCAGCAGTGACTACCTGCCTACAGACGACATGCACCAAGACAACAACCAACCACCTGAAACTAAACTACACATAATGGCGGTGTGATGACTAACCGACCAATGCTGCAGCTTCTTAGCTCCGGCCGTTATGCAACCTGTTAGGATTTGTCCTACGTTGTAAGAATGTGATGAAGAAGCTCCGAATGTGGCAGGAAAGCAGCTCCACTGTGCTTCTTAAAGGCATGAAACGCTCTCGAGAGTCAGATTGTAAGACTGATAGCATATCTGTCTGCAGTCAGAAAAGACAGGAAACGTGGAAAAGGCTCGCCCGGCTTTGTCTGAAGGTGTCAAGTTCAGCCTTCTAGCACCTGCAGAGCCGCCATGTGACACGTTACATCAGAACATATTTCACTTTTTCTTCACTGTGTAACTGTTTAATAAATGTGCTGATTTTTGCTCATCAAGCTGCACTCAGTGACCTGCACTGACAGCAAAAACAGGTTTTCCAAATGTGTTAATAAGCATCCACACACTCTGTAGAAGCTGCTTTGACTCTATAATTCTTTACAACCTTTGGACATCTGGATTAAGGCAATCATCCCATTTTCCTTTGCAGAAGCTCCATCAGATTGAACGGGAACTATCCATGAGCTGACACCCTCAGTTAACTTCCACAGGTTTTTTTTTTAGTTGGGCCACTCATGGACAGTCAGACGTTCATCCTGAAGCCACTCTAACGTTATCGTGGCTGAAAGGTGAACCATTGCGCTGGTTGCATGATGCTGCCGCTGCCGTGCTTCCCTGTAAGGATACTGTTACTGGTCTGCACTTATATACTTTGCAACGTGTTTCTCATGCACACACACTCATGCACCAATGGTACCATGCACGGTGCTGCCTGCCACTGGGAGCAACTTCGGGTTCACTTCAACTGCGGAGGAGCGGGGGATTGAACCGCCAACCTTGCGATTGGAGGACAACCTGCTCCACCACCTGAGCCGAGCAGGTCCTGGTGCTGGATAGATATGGTACTTAAGGTTCTCTCCAAAGAGTTTGTTTCAGCAGATCACAGAGTTTCTTTCCTTTAAATGCCATCAGGAAAACTCTGATCAGGCTGTGAAATGAAATGAAAATTCTACCAACATGTTCTTACTCTGCCTGTATGCATGTTGAAATGATTCTATTTGAATCTACAACAGGTGCAAAAGGAGAAGGGATGTGAACACTTTCTACAGCAACTATACACAACAACTGAATCGTTTTGGACTCTTTCTCACTGTTTCTCCATCTCCAGCGTTTATCCAAAACTAAACCGTCCCCCGGTGAGTGAGAGCGACGCTGATCTTCACGTCTAACTCTGGTGTATTTCCTAAAAATGTCTAATTACTCCCTCTTAACAAATGCAGCCCAGCGAGAGAAGATTTTACTCCGACCGCCTGATTTAAACCAGCGCGGTGACAGTTAGTGATTACAGGAGATCGTAAAAACTTCAGTTACACATTCACAGCCTCAACAGCAGCACACCTGGAAACCCTGAACACACTTTGAGCACAGGTTGGATGAAAGGAAGCGACCGACTGATGAATGCAGAAGAAAATCCGTTCTGCTCTTACCTTGAGATCCTCTGCCTGCTCAATCAAAAAACCCTGACTCAGCAAACAGAGCCTCAAATACCCCCAAAACAATCCTGTCAACACGTGTTGTAGCTGCAAGACCGCTGCCAGTTCACCACCTCAGTGTCCATCAAAAGGAAATAAAAACTGTCATGAAGTGTTTCCTCACAGCTCCACGCTGTTCGTCCGCCGTGAGGGAGCTGAGCTGTGCGAGTTCCTCTCAGGGTTTTCCGCCGCCGCCGCCGTTGGATTGTGTTTGTTAGCCTGAGGCCATGAATTCCCCAGCAGGGCCGTGTGGGTGTGTTTGTGTGTCGGTGCGTAGTGAGAAAGAGAGAAAGGAAAAGAGAGAGCAGATGAGTGTGAAGCACTGGGCGGCGTGTTTGCACCATCACCTGGGTGTGGGCGGCCCGGTGGGGAGGAGGGGGGTTCAGGAGACCAGTTTAAAATCGCTTCTGAGACGAATCGTCCACAGATAGAGGCCTGTGGAGGATCGGAGGTGCAACACAAATACATTCCTCGGCTCAAAGCAAACCAGGCGACTCACATGCATCACCTGCTGATGGAAACGCTGCAGAATGTGCTGCTGGTCTCGTGAGTTCAGCCGGAGAGGAAAAAGAGACGACGTGTGGTTTAGAGGAGGCCGTCTATAGCTGTGGTGGAGTCCTGACCACGTTTTCTCTTGACTTCCTGTGACCTCTGGTGCCAGTTCAGCTAACAAGAGCGTGAGACTCCAGTTTAGCACTTTACAGCCAAAAGGCACAGAGACGGACCGGTTCAGGTCCAAACAGGGCTGCACACAGAAAAGTGTATTTAAAAGATCAAGCAAAGCCTGTCTGTAGTGTAGCGATAACAACAGTTTAAGCTAAAACAGTTACAGAAAATGTAAATACAGTTGTGACTCGATAATCCGACACTAA